CGCCGCCGATGCCCGCGCGCGACAAGAAGCCACTGCTCACCACGGAGCTGTCCGACGTCACGCAGGACCCGGCCTCGCCGTACCTCGCCCGCACCGCGTCAACGCTGCGCAAGCCGTTCGCGCTGCGCTCGGCCCCGCCCTCCGTCGCGGACCGTGTCGCGCTCGCCACCCGGAACTGCGTCCGCGAGAGCCTGCTCCACGTCGGCGCGCTCCAGGTCTTGCAGTGGCGCGCGGGGCCAGCGATGCTGTGCGTGGACGTCGGCGTGCCTAATCTCTGGCACGCCCATCTGGCACTAGATTCACCGGACCCGGACCTCGCACTGCTGCGCGTCCACCACATCCATGTCGCCGTCGCTAGTCATCCGGACGCACCCGCAGACCCGCGCCAATCCCCCGCTGAGCAACGCCCGCAGCCCCCGACCGACGTCCAGAATGCCCTGTTGCGTCGCGCCGCTGATGACAGGATCGCCGCCGCTGTCCAGGCCGCACGCGCCATTGCCAAGGGCAGCCTCACCTTCAACCCTACCTGTGTGATGTTGTGCGCCCTCCGCGACATGATGGTTGACGACGTCTGCGCTCCGCTCGCCATGGACTACTTGCGCGCCCAGGCAAGGGCACTGGCAGACGCCGCGTGGAAGGGCACGCTCAAAGTCCAAGGCGCAGAGGTTGACGCCGCCCCTGGTACACCCTTGGCCATTCAATATTGGGTCGGCCATCCCGCCTCAGCCCGCATTAGCGTGTCAGAGATGCGCGCCGCTGCTGTATCGCCCAAGTTGGACGCCTCCCCGATTCGATCTGATGAGAACGACACCATGGACAGCGTCCCCGCCGATGTCTCGTTGGAGCGCAGGCCGGGCTGCGTCAATTGCACACACGACCCAGCCTTGCCCAGCGCAATCGAAGTGGGCGGTTCTCATACTTTGTTTGAACTCACCATGAATGCTCTCAACATCGAGGACCTTTTACTTGCGGCCATTAAGCTTCGAAGCAGAGCAAGGCTCAAACATTTGTGCGAGGGGGTTTTGAACAAGTGCGACACGTTTCGAATCCCTCCAGCTTGCGTCACCTTGTTGCAGCCGAGAAAGGCACACACTGCAGGCGACAGAAACCGCACAGCACTTATTGAGGATGTCCTACGTATTCAGCTCGAACCCGACGGCAGCGCCGGTGTTGACTTTAGAATATTCGACATGACTGGCGGCGTCTACGTCCGTCCTTACGGAGCCGCCGCGCTCGTCTCAGATGTGGAAAAGTCCCCCGATTCCATAGTGTGGAAAGGCACCAAGAATTTTGCCGACCCCAACGCGGAATTGGACGCCGTCTTGATTGCCCTCGAGACCATCCGGGCCCGCTTGAAGCTCAACGCTGCTTCTCGTTCCGTTTGTGCCCTGGATGCCGGTGTGTCTTGCACACTGCCGCCGGGTACAGCCTCCGTAGCAGCAATGGCATCGTTTGAGCGTGCTGCAAGCCAACTGGTACCGCCATTTGCGCCGCTTGAGCGACGGAACCCGCGCCGTTTTCTCACGCTATCCCCTCCACCACCAAACAGGAATATTTTACATATCATTCAGAATGGAGCAACCCCACACGCTCATGCGCGCACTCGAACGTCGAGTCAGCGAGGAGTGGACCGCGGCGGTTCGGCAAAGCGTCCGAGGCTGACGTATGCTACGACGAGCGATGCTCTGGTGTTCATCCAGGAAAGCGTTCTCGCTGGAGAGCAGTGGCTTATTGGGACTCCGAGGTCTTCTGCGCAGAGTCCTTTGCCAATGTCAAGACTCAATCGCTCAGAAAAGGAGCCCATCGATCGCTACGGTGGAACGGCGGCGGCGGCGGCGGCGTGGGCTGTCACAAGAGAAGTTGTGGAGCGGAGGCTACGACGGGACTCGTTGCTACGTGCTTTCGTGGCTGCGAATGTGGCATCTGCCGCACAGACGCATCACCCAAGGATTACAGAAGAGGGTGACCTGCGGCTCGAATCTGCCTCTAGGGTCTTATTGAAAGTCAAGTGTGAGCCACTCCCAGTGCAAAGGGCTGAATTGCTTCTGCGCGGGTTTGACGCCTGGCAGGTTCGGCTGTCGTTGCTGCCAAGGATCTTTGACAGTACAGATCCCCAAAGCTTCTCACACGACGAAAGTTCTGCGAGCAGCGACAACGCAGGAAGATATGGCAATCTCTGGTCAGTTGGTGTGGCATGTACAGGTTCAGTGCTGACGTTTACTTATCCCTCCGCAAACGCTTCTTCTGTCCGAAGCTTTTTCCGCGACCTAACTCGGGCTCGGACAGCTGCAGCGCTTGCGCGGGGCGTCCCACCTTCTCCATATTACAGAGTACTTCGAAGATCACCAGTAAGGATCGTCGTCGGTCTCGGACCCTACGGGCGGAAGAAGACGGGCCTTGCAAAATCAGAAAATGGTTTTCCTACTGACGCGTCGAAAAAAGAGGAACCACCAAAACCCCAATACACGGCCATGGTGGAGTATGTATATTCCAAAGGGAACAGCGGCGGCTTCAGCTTGTCGTTTTCCCCATCAAAACCCACGATGGAGGAACTAGCGCCTCTGATAGAGGAGGCCTTGGATGCGTCGGGCGGTCAAGTTGGTGGAATCCTGGCAGGGCTTTTAGAACGAGCCTGCCCCGTAGCTGCCGCTGCTGAAAGTGCAGTCCGACAGCGAGTGAGCGGGAGAATTCGATTCGTCACAGCGCTACGCGTGAGAGCTGTGTTTCTGGTAAATCGGAAGTCTGGCACAAAGGATGCTTCGATGGCACAGCAAGGAACAAATCGAACTAATCCGGTTCCTCAAGCGGTTCCTCAAGCGGGTCCTCAAGGAGGTCCTCAAGTCTACCATGCCGTCGACGTTGATGCAAGAGGGGGAAGTGGGCTCGTCACAGTGATTGACGTCGGGAGGGCTACAGTTGTAATGATTCAACAGGGTTTTGCGAGTCGATCAGGACCATCTGGGGGGAACAATCCAAACTGGAGGAACGACTTTGCTCCATTGCCAAAATGGGATGATATTGTGGATGAGCTCACAAAGGAAGGTTACGCAGAGGCACAGCGAGCTGGTTCAACCGTTGTTCTAAAGATGGAAGTCTTGGAACAATTTTTGTCTGATCTCGTTACCGCCGCTCTTGGTTGAGCATCACAATTTCGCGTGTAAGCAAGGTGAATATTCATTCACCGAGTGTAGCTGGGCAACTGTTTCTCGCTCTTCTGCATTTTTGGGTATATGACGAGAAAGAGTTGTTAAGGTATACTCGGTCACTTGTAAATATCCCCCTTCCTTGCCTGTGACAATGGTTTGCTGTATATTTTTTTTTCCTGCTCTTCCGGCCCTACTTGAGGGGCCGGTGTCGATAATTAGCATCCAAAAAGTTCTAACAACTTGTAAACAAATACATATACCCAATTAATACATTCGTGTCGTGTCCCGTTGTTGTATGTCTATCAATAGAGCACTGGAAGCTCGTTACGAACGACCACCTGGTCTCAACCCCTTCAGCCGGCCCCACCGTGTCTCGCGCACGTTGGTATTCGCCGGCGATGAAAGCTTCTTCTGCGACAAAGATACGAGTTGAAATCTGGGTTGTGCAAACTGTGCGTGGTCGATTCCACGGCGGACCAAAGACATGCGAGACGTTCGACGGTCCACAAGAGATTTGTAAAAACCGCGCGAAGGATCGAGCACGAGCAAGTTCACCTCTCCCGATCTAGATTTTTCTGCTCCGATAATGGTCACGGAATGCCCTTGCCACTGGCAGAATATCGACGGCACCAACGACCGTTTCCTGGGGCCCAAAAAGGAATGCCGATGCACTGAGCACGATTTGCCGTTACACCACTCGTTGAAATGTTGTAAAATCCACAAAAACATATTCCTTCGATCCGCATCCGTTGGGGTCTCGAAGTCCTTGACAAAGACGTCAAAACTGATGCTGCGGAAGAGGACGAAAACTTCGGTGGCGCCGATCCACACTTCTTTATCAAGCAACGAACCACCGAAATTGGCCGCGCCTTCAGGATCATACCCCTGTTTCCAGGCGTCCTCGATGCGACCGGCAATCTCAGGCACACTCGGCACCTCGGAAATTCCCACAGTGCGCAAGTACTGGCTGCATGCCGGGTCGTGAAGGAGTGCACTGAAGAGCATCTGGATGTTACGAAAGCCACAATCCCAGCCAAGGCCTGCCAAGTTACTGCAAAACAAGTCCATTTTTGAGGCGATGTGCACTTTCTTGCGCCCAACACCCTCAAGACCGTCGATGTGCGGAAACAGTACACTCTGAACGTTGGCATAGAATATCTCGGCCGAATCGAGAGCGCTCCCGCCGAGCGACAGAGATACAAGTGTGGAATTCATTCCGGTAACGTCATTAACAGCAGCGATTTGAGATGCAAGAGCGGCATCTTGTTCCTCCACTTCGCGCATCATACGTTCCGCCGGGCCCAAAGGCTCCTCTGCGACGTGCCGCTCGGCATTAGGTGAGGGGGGATTGCCATCGTCGCTGCTGAGTTGGAATGCTACTTTCTTGGACTCCTCCTCCTCGCCGTCGTCGAGATGTTTGTTGACGTGCAGCTGGAAATTTGCGAGCGTCGCATTCAACTCTCGTTCACATACTGGACACTTTTGCAGGAACGAACTCATGCGAATTCCGCTGGATCGCTGTGCGGGCGTTGACCGTGACGTGTGAGGAGGGCGGCTGGGAAACAGGCGAGTCGTCGTCGTGGCGCACTAGGCGACGACAAACCGGAGGAGGAGAAATAGAGACGCAAACCGCAAGACGTGGGCAAGCTTTGTTCTTACATTGACTGCAAGTGAGGGCTCTGTTCGTATTTGGCGAGGCGGTGGGCGTCGTCAGGAGGGGGAACAGGCAGCGCGCGGGGGATGCCAGAAGGGGGGAGGGAGGAAGAGGTTGAGGAGACCTGGCCTGAGTCAACTCGCCGTGGATGGAGGTAGCAGGACTGCCGATGATGCCTGACTTGACGACAGTCTCCTTCCGGTTTAGCGACAGCGAAATAGCAATTGGGTGCGAAGACGCTTCTATTGGTCAAGGTGAACGCACAGACTCGTTTTGGGCCCTCTGCTGTACACGTAGCATCACGCCGCAAATGGACACATCGGTCGTGGACACTTGGGCCCTTCCTATTACCCTGCAGTGCCCACAGCAACCGTCGAAATATTAAACTAGAAATAGGAAGTCATACAGCATGGTGCAACTCAGAAGGCCACGTTACTCCCCTTCTACTGTGCCCCGATCGCTTCGACAAGTATTGTACATGTGGGAATTGTCCCAGGAAAAGTTTGAAGGAAATAGTTTAAACAGTTTATTAATGTCTAGAAGAACCTACGACCGGCTCTTCAAACCCAACCGAACCTCCGGGCAATCGGAGCGCTGTTCGTGAAGGATTCTGCGTAGACACGTCTGTTCAAATCTCTCTCCGGGCAGACCCACGCGCTAGTCGCATGGGATTGTCCGTTATATACTAATTTACTGTAACCCTAAACACGGCAAGTTCTTTCCTCACCCCGTGACCCATTCACGTGGTGAGGTATATCGCCATATGACAGACATTATGATAGAAACTTTCACACTGCCATTTTTCCAGAAGTAGAACTTGCCGGAGTCCTGACAATCCATTTTCGGACAGTATTGTGGTCGTAACCCGTATCTAGGAGCTTTTCCAAGGCTTCGTTGGGATGTTCTTTTGTCAAACCATCGGCTACGTTGTTTTCGGAGGAGACAAGCCCGACATGAGATATTTCTTCTCGGTTATAGCATTGTCTCGAGGATGCTATGTCAATCATCAGCCTTTTCTCTGTCGTTGAAGAACCCTTGGTGATGACGTCGAACATTTGTAGCGAATCCGTGAACATATGAAGTGGGATTCTCTTCTTGAATATCATTTGAAGGTCATGTCGTAATATGTACGCTCTGTCGAATCCGTCGGCGAAAGCGTACACCTCTCCACCAAGAATGGATCTGACTACTCGCTTAGACTTTCTGCTTGAGTAATCCAGAACATGTGACCGGTTTGTTTTATCGCAAAGGAGAATGATGAACCCAAGCTGTGAGGACAAATCGTCATTTCCGGCGAAGGAAGCGTCTGTGTATACTCTCAGATGTAGCGTGGACTTGTTCAGTGGGGCATATTTAAGGCATCTCTCCGGCATCTTTTGGAGACGTTTGATGGTACTGTTGAAGGCCTTGATCTTTTCCACTCCGAAAGTACTAGGTGTAACCTGTGCAGCTTTGTTGATAGCACATAATGCGTCAGGTCTCGTGTACCCAACCCAAGCCAGTGTGGCGCGGTAGGATCTGAAGCGTTCAAATGATGCATCCAGCGGCAGTGGCTTTAGTCTTCCAATATAGGCCTTCTGTGATATTGTAAAATGGCTGCTTCGCTCTGTTGAGATATTTGTTCCGAAGAAGTCAAATTTGTCCCATTCTCGTGGCCTCGATTCAAATTTGTGGAGAGTTAACTTCGTAAGTTCCTGCATTACCTCATTTCCTGCTAAGCATCCGTCATCGACACACATACCCAAGAGTCCGTCCACATCCTCGTTGTTACGTTTGATGTACAAAGACGGATCCCCTAGCAGAGGCACTAGGCCAAGATCATCTTTGGCGTGATGGTCGACGGTGACCCCCCAGTAGTCGCCCGCGTCCGTCATACCGTAGATTGGCCTGAGAAGTTCTAGAATTTCTTCCTCGGTGATTCCAAAGTGCTCCATGTCCTTCCTTTTGGGGAGTAGAAATACCTTACGGGTGAGTTTCTCCTCACTTTGCAGGTATGCCTGCGTTACATCGTGTGAGAAGATGCGAAATGCTTTGATCGCCGCCACAGAGATTATTATTCTCGTAGAACTTTGTCGCAAGTTCGTAATGTTGTGGACCATGTACGATTTGTCTTTGTCCCGGTGACCCTGTGCTACGTAACGGGCTTTAGAAAGCTCATTATCCGTGCCTGCATTCTTAAGAGCCAGCACAAAACGTCCTCCCAAAATATTTGGGTTAGAAGGAAGAGATTCCTTGGGTACAATCTTCCATGTGTTCCTTTTCTCAAGACCGAGAACTTCTGTTCTCATGGCTTTGGCGAATTCACCAGATTTTGCTCTTACATCCCCTTGTTCGATGATTTGGGTCATAAGAATGTGGGAGTTGGTTGTTGTGTCAATCGGTGCAGCGAGTTCCAAAGAAGGGAAGGGACCTCTCAAAGGTCCCGGTTTCCATGAAGGAGTTCCAGGGTTCGCACGGATCCTGCTCAGTATTGATTCTAAATCGTTCAGCACGTCGCCTTGAGGTACTGTTGTAGGTTCCATGTGCAACTCTGTGGGCCCCGGCACAGCTTCATTCCTTGGTTCACGAGTGGATAGAATGGGTACGAAGGATGCGGGAGTGTTGTACACTTTCACTTTGTCGATAGACACTTGCTTGTTAGTGCCGTTCAGATCAATAAAAACACTCTTATCCTTTACCCCCACGACCGTGTACGGACCAACCCACTTGTTCTCAGGCTTCTCCCTGAACACCAGGACGCGGGAGCCGATTGGTATATCCGTAAGAGCAGCAGCCGGGACATTCATGCGCAAAGCCCTGGTGACTCTTTCTTTTGCGATGACTTTGGTCATTTCTTTCCTAGCCAATGCCATAGCCTTCATTCGATCCACCTGAGCCGGAAGGTCGGTAGGGGTCACTGGAATCCGCGGCATGGCCCCGAAAACGAGGAGAGTGGGGACCAGGCCGTGATACCCAGCTGTATCGTTCATGGCCTTGACGGAGAGTGCAAGAATGTGGTCATTCTCGAGTTGCGGGAATTGCTGCCGTGTCTTGCGGTAGATACCTCTCAAAAAGGAGTGATACCGCTCACCAACGCCCAATGCGTTGTGGCTCTGTACACCGGAAGGGTGGTGTGTGATCCCGGCTAGATTGACTAGGTTGAGCCATCTATTGGACGTAAATTGGGGTCCCTGATCGGTTGCCATTATGTCTGGGAACCCAATATATATACAGACCCATATGCGCATGAAAGTGTTCCAAGTGTCATCAGCAGTTTCCTTGGGAAGGAATGAGGCCGCAGAAAACTTTGTGTCTTTGTCTACCACGTGCAGGACTGCGGCATTGTCGAGGTACATGAGGTCCAGGCATACGGTCTTATTAAAAACCACTTCTCCGTCTGGGAGTGCGACCCGGAATCGATGTGGGGCATGTGACAGTCTTTGACAAAGGTCACACGCTGCAGTGATGCGCTTCAGGTCGTTCAGAACCTGAGGGGAGGTTTTCCCGGGGTCCGACCTTTTCATGACCGCGTAGAGCCTTTCAGAATCTGGGTGGTGAAAGTGCTTGTGTACTTTCATCAATTCGGTTTCGGTAAAGAGAATTTGTGGACCCCACTCGTAGTACAAGTGCCCCAGTTTCTTCTTTAGTGGGACAGTCCACCCCTGGAGTCTTGATGAGAGAACACACTTATCTGTGTCAATTACCATTCTATACCGTTCCATGTAATCGAGGCCGAGAAGGAATGGTACGTTGGTATCAACCACATCCACAGAGAGGGGGAGGAAATGGGTTGGGCTGACTGGTACTCGAATGTCCAAAATCCCAAGACCAGGATGTTTATGAGTCCCGAAGCTGAACACGTTCCTTGTCTTGCGGTCAGAGGGTTGGAAAGGGATGTCGAATAAGCTGCAGTACGCTTTTGCTTGCGCAGCTCCTATCACCGACTTCTGAGCGGCAGAATCAATGCAGACGCCCTGGAAGAGGTCCAGCGATGGTATGCTGCAAGTCTTTCTAGTGACGTAGACATGAGTTGTGTGTTCGTCCGGGTATGAGGGGGTCCCCTCATCCTCGGACTCGACTTCCGGTACTGGACTTTCTTGTCCAAGGATACTCTCGAATATGCTTACGTCGTTACACTCGATTTCTTCGTCAGGATCATCAGTTCGTGTGCAGTCCAGTTGTTGGCATAGATCTGCTAGAACGTGATGCACCGCGATGGTTTTTGTGTTTGCCTTCTTCGAGTAGTAATCCATCTTCCGTGCGGCTGCTCGAGATGTATTCAACGGCAGAGTACAGTCCTTTACAAGATGATTGCCGCCACAATTGAAGCATCCAGAAACTGAGAGGGGGTCGAACTGTCCCGTCCGGGCAGGCTTTGCTTCTGTCCCTCTGGGGATTGAAGATGGTTTGTATGACTTCCGAGCCTTACCGAGATGAGAAGGAGCCGTACCGTGATAGTAACGGCCTTGCCCGGCGTACATGATCCTTGCAGAATCATCTTCAGGGAGTGTCTTCG